TGCCTGATATTCAGCCACCTGATTGAGAGTTAATAAATAAATTCAATTCTAGTTATGGTAAAAACAAAGACATCAAAGCAGTCTCTTTTATTTTAACAAGACAAAACACCTAGTTAAACCTCTCATTTTTATTTCTAGGTTTACAATTTACTCAGTACAGTTAACCTTTAAACATATATGGAATATATACAGACAGGATATCAAATAAAATGAAAGATTTCTTGCTTTTAATGTACGGCATTTAAATACTCCTTTATTGCACTATTTATAAAACTGTTTTATAGAACACTAAAAAGTAAGGGGCTGTTTAAAAAATGTTAATCCTATAATTAATAGTCAGAGGCATACGCTTTCCCCCAGCACAAGGCACTGATATTCTAAATCTGTCACTCTGAACTTTACAGTAGGAGACAGCCATCTGCCTGCATGCAGCTATATAAAACAAAGGAAGAATATATGCTCTTATGTTTCCCCTGGTGAGATGCAGGATCATTATGATAAAGTAGGCAACAAGCTTTAGCTAATATGAATTAAGACAGCATATGTTGAGGGGAAAAAAGGAACATATTTAGTCAAATTAATTCTATAAGTCAGTGTTATTAGGTGATTGGATAATGGAGCATTTGATAAAGCAAAATATATGATGTAGTGCTAAGTAAATAGGAAATATGTGTCTGGGTGATCCATTACTGAGTCCTGCACCCTCCCTCCCCCACAAATCCTCTCTGTGTTTCTGAATCTGGTGCCATTTTAGTTAAGTCCTATACTTTAATTTACACCTCCATTTTGCTGTGAAACATCAAAGTTGTTAAAATAAAATACTTTAACATTCTCTCACAGGCTAAGAATATTAACTGGAAGCAAAAAGGAGCAAGCCTTGTGAAGAAAAAAATCAATTTCCAACACATTTTACATCTAGATATCTGTGCAATTGCATTTTTTTCCCCCAGAAAGTCATGTTCTTTAATCAGTTGTGTCTAGATTTTCTGAAATTTGAGTGCTTTATTTTTTTTTTCTTTTTAGTGCAGTTTGGGGATTGAATTCAAGACTTTTCCTGTGCTGGGCAAATGCCTTCACTGATCTGCAGCCCCAGCCCTTGAAATTCAAGCCCTTAAATCTACTTTCTACATTTCAGTCTAACTAAGATACAGTTCCTTTTGGGTCACCTAATGTGTTTTCAGTTTAATTTTAGATGGATCATGATAATACCTTCTTTATTAACAATGTATTAGATCAATACTAATTTGTTTTCTCATTTTAGAAATTTTATATTTGAAATAAAACTTTTTCTTTCTGAAATTAAACACACATACACATACTTTTATACCAGATGAAAAAGTGCAACAATTTAAAATTTCTATATTATTTTCTATAGTGTTGATTTTCTAAATAGTGCAGCACTATACATGGTTGTTGAACGTGAACTCTGCAGTCAGCCAAGATTATTTCTAATCCTATTTCTATTATGTACAAGCCTTGTGACCTTGAGAGTAATATAGCAACTCTAGGCTTGAGAATTCTCATTTGTAAATGGAGGTAATTTAGAAAGCCTACTTCAGCCAGGTTTCTCTGAGGTTAAGTGAAATGTATAAAGCACGCAGAGCGGTATGTGGTTAAGTCAGAATTCTTCACAGTTATTTGCAAATTTTACTCTCCTGAAGCAGAAGTTCATATACAGCAGCTTCCCACCCTCTTCATCTTCAAGGATACATGCATTCCAAGATACCTGAACGGATCTTGAAACCTCAGAAGGCTGACACCTCAGATGGTACTGCCCTCTATAGCTATTGTACTTTTCCCTATACATACTCACTTGTAAGTAATATCTATCACTGAGCTACATCCCAGCCCTTGAAATTCAGGTACTGCTAAATCTACTTTATGATGATATAACTTAACTTTAATTTATAATTAAATATAATTTTCATTTATAAACAAGCCATAATAAGAGATTAACAAAAATTAAAAGAATAGAACAATTAAAACAATATACTGTAATAAAAGTTATTTGAATGGGATCCCTCTGTTCCATCAAAATATTATTCTACTTTCACTTTTTCACTTAAAGAAAGCACTCTATGTCTTCTCTTTGGCATGTTCAAATCATCAACATCACAATTTGGTGTTACTATTAAGTAAAATAAGAGTTACATGAACATAAGCACTACGATATAAGCAGTAGCTGATTGGATAACCTGGATGATCACTAGGTGAGTACTGGGATAGGTGGAGTATAAAGAATGGATACACAGATAAAGAACGACTCATTCATTTTGGGCAGAATAGAGCATGAACAAAAGATTTCAATCTATGCATTGGTTATTTATAGAAATTTTCCTATGATATTTTCTGACCACATTTGGCCACATATACCTGAAAAAAGTGAAACCATGGGTAAGGAAGAAGCTAGTATATTTTAGATGTATATTATAGTCAATAAAATATGAATTTAAGAAATTATTTTGGGCTGGGGATGTGGCTCAAGCGGTAGCGTGCTCGCCTCACATGCGTGTTACCCGGGTTCGATCCTCAGCACCACATACAAAGATGTTGTGTCCACCGAAAGCTTAAAAAAAATAAATAAAAATTCTCTCTCTCTCTCTCTGTCTCTGTCTCCCTCTCTCTCTCTCTCTTTAAAAAAATGAAATTATTTTAATGGTGATCTATCTGTAAATTCCAATTAATTTGTATATTATAATCATTAAATAGTAAGAAAATTTCTATCTACAAATAGAATAAAATAAATAAATAAAGATGAATATGGAAGATTTAGGGATTTTATCTAAAGTTAAGTTTTCACCAGGCAGTTGACACACTTTGAATCTGGCATATAATATTGTTTATTGAAATCTGCACTTAAAATTTGTGGCATCTGGGCAAGATGGATCATTCTATAAAAAGTCATTCATGTTACCAGATTCCTGAATTATGGGCCTTTTTCAGATATTAACACGTGAGTCTAGATTCTAAGGAACACACTATTACAAATTTTATTTTTGGCCTTAGGTTAAAATCACAAACCTACTGTTGGTATTCTTTATGACTGAAAGAAGATAAGTTTTCTTCAAATGTAAGTAGTAAATGATTAAAATTAATACTATTTTTCATTTTTGAAAAAAAATTTCTAATTTTGAAAATGCACATCACATTCTACCATTCCGCTGTGTTAGATGGAAGCAGGTCCCCAGAAAAAGAGGCAAAAAATCAAAATTACAGACAATAAGCTATGATAACTCATAGGCTAAAAATAGTATTGATGTATGAATTTTGTTTTGCATATTAAATTCCTTGTGTATTATCAAATTAAAGTGTGTTTTAGAAATGCAATTCTAAACCAGTAATAATTATTAATAAAATATTGGCCATAGATTCTGATTATTATGTAGAATACTGGTGTTTAGCAAAACATTATTACCCAATAGTAGTTCTTAAAATGTTATAATTTAACAGGAAAAACAGTCAAAAGTGATTAATAATATAGAAAAATTTTTCCAGCAATGAATATAGGGCAGAATTCCAATTCTTTTTCTGAGGTCAGTTTTCTACATTCTGCTACTCAAAAAACCGAATACAATTAACCCTGTGTCAAGCTTTAGGCTTAACTCTAGATAATCCTGAGTTTCTGTTCTTCTTGAGGAAAGTGTAGGTTGTTTTCAGAAGAGTCAAAACTACTAAATGAGGAATTAAAGGATGAAGAATCACAGATATTAAGGTAGGAAGAAATGATCACTCTGAGGGTCACTCTGTGTCTAATACTTGTGAGGAGGTAAACTCACCTTCAGACATTAAAATATGAAAGCATGTTTAAAGGAAAATTAGATTTTATCTAGTGCAAAATTAAAGAAAATGTCTTCTAGGTATTTCAAATGGCTAATCATGGTGCTAAAAGAGTTTTACAACTCATATTTTTTTTCCCTTTACTTGTACTCATTGAATGTAACATAGGTGGTCTCAATTATAGGAAAAGACAAACTTTGTGATATTTTTCAGAACATGAAATGTTCACCCAAATGTCAAGCCACAGTGTAATGTGTCTTCAAAAATATTTTACAGTTAAAGAATAGAATATTTATATGATGTTTTAAAATGAACACAACAATAAACTTTGTATTTCTATGCTTTTTTGTTATATTTGTTTGCTTTCTTCTCTAAATATTAAAACATTCATCCACATGACGAAGGTCTCTTGGGAAGAGGAGATGGATAACATAAATAGGTACCTTTGAATTAGCTTCAGAGCATCATCCCCCATTTTAGCAATTAAAAGGGAATTATTCAATATAATCTTGGATAAATAATGAAATTCTCTGTGATGTAAATCATAATCTAGTATTAATCCTCATTCCCACCTCCCTAATTTAGAACTACTGATTAACTTCACATAGACAACAATGACACTTTCAGCTATCAGTGCAGGACCGAGTAGCACACAATGACCTAATACATTTGTACTGTGCCCAAGGCGTTTCCGACTTTACTTGCCCAATACTGATCTAATTAACTGAAAACCTCTTAGGAGCCTATTAGCTGTTGACAATAGGGATTTTTTAAAAATTCATAAATAGCTCCACTAACACTGAGACCATAATCTTAGGCACCAAAAAATAATGTGCTCTTTTTTAACACCAAAATATTTTAAAGATGGGGATCTGTTTATGAATTATAAAAACTTAGTGATTTAATTAACAATTAAGCAATGTAAATAGTATTGGAACTTGATTATGTCCAGGGCAACAAAGGAAGGATTCACCATTATTTTAGAAGTAACAACATAAATAACCTAACACCATATCTGAATTTTAACTCCTATTTTATGTGGAAATTGAAAATGTATATTGAAGGCATTCTTAATGTAAACAAAACTAAACAGAAGCTTAGGTTTGCTTCTGAAGTATTAAACTGGAAGTATTCTATGAGAATTCATTTAAAAATAAAACTATAGATGTTTCTTGCTTATGCTAGTATCCAGCTGTAGACTTCCAATATATTTCGATTCTCTTCTACTGGCGTAAGACGTTTGCAAAAGGAATAGAGAAGTGTAAGTGATTACCTTTTTCGCAGAAACGGCCTGTAAAATGTAGTGGACAGTCACACTGGAAGGAAATGACAGTGCTTGACAGGAAGAGGGGGTGGCAAGTGCCTCCATTGTGGCACTCATTTTCCTGGCAGACAGGTGGCGCAGCTGGAGAGAGGCTGAGGGAAGAACATCTGGAATCGGTCACTTGCATCATAACAGAAGGAACAACAGAGGTCATTGGAGACAGATCTTGAGATCTGTGATTTAGAGACAGACAAAAAGAAAAAAACATATAAGTAAAAGCTCTTGGAACCTACATAGAGATAATAGGAAATTTGGTTTAAAATAAGAGGGAATACACTCGTGCGCGTGCACACATGTTGATCCAAGGTTTACTGAAGGCAAATAAGATGGTCATTTTATGTGTTCAAAACATCTGAGTCACAGAGTGTAACCTTGAGTGATTTACGAAGGTCTTGTGGTGTACTGGTTCTGAGAAGCTAAATAATTGTCTCTAAAGTAGTAAGAAACTTGGTGTAGGCCTTTGTAAGCCTACAAGCACACTTTGTTATAGAAAAGATTAAAAACTTTTTGCCTAACACAGTCCCTCTTCTACTATTTCAAATCTTATGAGCCTAAGATCAAAAGTGAGGCCATTTTGCATTTTGATGTTAAAATAGTTTGAACTTGAGTTATTTCTAGGTTGATTGCATTTCTCAAGGGGACTTGTATTTATTTCTAGAAGTCATCCAATTGATACCTTAGAAATGCCCAGAAGGATTCCCTAATTTTTTCATAAATATTACTACCAGTTTTTTTTCTTCCTAAATAAATAACAAACCATGAAAATTTCCCTCTGAACTACATTGAAATTCCTTACCTTTACATTCAAAGTCCCTAGGCAATCTAATTCCTCTTTGCTCTTCCAGTTCACCATAGAATGATACCTAATAAAAGCTTTAAATTCTCTCAAACCAAATGTGAGTATATTCTCTAAGGACTCTATACTTCCCTCTTTGGGGAAACTGGTTCAAACCATTCTATGTGCATGATTGTTCCTTTCATCTTACTGAGATTTCGCCTAAGTGGCATGTGCACACCTGAATTATTTCCTCTAATCTTCTCAGTTGCCCTTAGCCAGTCAAGATAAAACTGATGATTCTCCCAACTGTAAAGTCCTATCACAAGTCATTTGCTAGACCACCGCTAGCAAGTGACTTTTTTGGTAGCGGTGGTGTAGAGCACATTTGCCATGTGCTCATGTAGTTATTTTATATCAGACTTTCCAATTAGGCTATATGGGATCATAGTAAATATTTTTTAAACATTTGAATTATTGTCTTTATCATGCTATATAACTCTCTGGGAAGCAGTGATTTTGGAATTTTAACTTAATAGAGAGAATTATCTTTTTAACATAAAAATCTTACTGCAATAAAAATACTCAACAACTTTTCTGAGTAAATATTTACTTTGTACATTGTCTTAAAGATAAAACCTTAGCAAAAGAGATTAATTTTAAGATGCACTGAGGCTGAGGTTGTGGCTCAGTGATAGAGTGTTTACCTGGCATGTGTGAGGCTCTGGGTTCAATTCTCAGCACCACATACAAATAAATAAATTAAATAAAGGTCCATCAATAACTAAAAACATATTTTTTTTAAAAAAAGATGCACTGACTGACATCAGAGATTTAAAATACATATTTTTTGTGTCTACCAAGTGTACTAATGTCAACTTATTAGCATAAAAGAGATGAAAATGAAATAGATAATAATCTATAAAAAGGTTTTGCTGATATAATATTAATGTAAAGATTAGTTCTTTATTTTTACAATCCTTTTATAGCCTGAAATTGTTCCTTCCAGAATTCATCCCAGATTTGTAACAATATGTTTATTTTTATGACTATTTGAGCCTGATTCTCTTCTTTTACCTCTAGATTGCAATCTCCATGGAGGATGGATGGATGGATCACCTCTACTCTTTCCTTCATTTTATCCCTAAACAACAGTGCTTGACTCCCTAGCAGGTTTTCTGGGAAATATTTTATACATGGATTTGAATCTTTTTCTTTTTTTTGTAAACACGCAATATACCACACTGCTAATTAGAAAGATAGCTAGTAAAAAATAATTTTATAATCCTAGGATTAATTTCATAACTCTGATATGACATTTTAGTTTTATAAATAATATAAACTCTTTACATTTAACTTTTTCTGGTTTTTTTCTCTTGCAGGCTTAGCACAATTTCTCCTATTTATACTCACTATATAGGTATGTCCCTCTAAGGTAACTTTCCTCAAGTGTAATGGCAATGCTAATATGAATTACCTGAGATTTATTGCTGAGTACTCCATGATCTAATTTAATTTCTAGTTTTAGTGTTTCTGAGTGATTTCACCATTTAGTCTAACACTTGCCATGGAATTCATGAACTGCAGTCAATCACCTCTTTCTGAGGAATAAATTAGACTGAATTAAATGTCACTACTTCCCTCTCATACTGTGGCTGCTCAGGGAGTCTGTGTCTCACCTGAAAGAATCAATATGTTGCACATTTTAGTTGTTAACTGATTACACAAAATAATTACTATCAATTGATCCATCAATTAAAATATTAGCATCATAAATCAAATTTTGAAAGCAGCACGAATCAGATACATTCTATGTTATAAAGATTAGATTGCATATCTGCTATATCATTATGGCTAGTTCTTGATTTTCAGCAGTTTTTATGAGTTATAAATTATTCCATGAATTTACCTACATTAGAATTTAAAATGAAAATAAAATTAATTTGATCTGTTATATATTTAAAAAGAAAGATTTATTCTGATGGCCACATTTTTACTTATTTTTACATGAAGGTAAATAGCTTAAAAATATCAAGTTAATATTGAGGTTTGGCCATAATAATATAATTAATATTAAAGTTATAAATCTTTTCTATTCTAGAAATTATGAAAGTATGAGACCTTTGAAAGAGATCAAGGTTTGAAACTTGCAAAATTATTTTTTAAAGACATAATATTATTAAAACTGGAGTTCTTTTTCTTTCTTATATAAGTTTTTGATTTATTGTGTGTCCAAAATAATCAGTATGAAAACTTTGATTGCTTCTGGGTAACTTTGTACAAGGATGTAGAAATGTACCACCCATTGTTATAATAAGATGTAACCTCTCAAGAACTTTTTCTTAATGATTTCATTTCTGAATATCATGCTTATTTCATTCAAAACCAAGGCTGATCATTAGGGAAAAACATGTAGATAGGATAGATTTCCAATCATGTTGTAGAGATCTAATTGGAACCAGAAAGAAGGACGCATACTCATTGTCTTAATCCCAGCTCTATCCTTCCAGGGGATTCTACAGAATCGCTGAGTTGCCAAGATGTAGGAAACCACGGGGCTAAAAAGTTGCTTTGCTTCAGCCTGAGGGATTCTGCTCATTGGCAACTGACTTTGTCACTTTTAGGTAGATACTTGTCTGCCTTCAAATTCTGAAAAAGAATAGCAGGCTCATTCAGATGTGTGAATTCTGGGAACTCTGCTTCACAACAGAGATAGAGGAGAATTTTTGGAATGACGATGTGGTATTAAATAGAAATGAAGAAACTCAAGTAGAAAATTCTTGAGCTTAGGGCTTTGAATAGGTAAGAATAGGAGAAGTCCGAAAGATTGTGTTAGATTTTAGAAAGTGGTAAAATAAATAAAATAAAAAACTTTTGCCTCATGTAAAGTAGCATATATAGAGAAATTTTTTTACACACCCCCTACCCCAATTTAGAAGATTAGCATTCACTCCTCACCACATACCCTCAGCCCAGCTCTAGGAACCTTAAATTGACTTTCTATCCTATAGATTTGCCTATATTTAACATTTCATATCAATGTAATCATCTAATATGTAATCTTCATGCTGGCTTTTTACTTTGACTAGTGTTTTCATAATGATGTATATATTAGAACTTTATCTACTTTTTAGTGATTGTAAGCAACATTTTTATGTACATTAATATTCAAATTTTTGCCTGGATGTATGTTTTTCATTTGGGATATATTTAGAAATATAATTGTTGGATCATATTATGTTTAAAATTTTCAGCCACAGCAAAGTTATTTTCCAAAAAGGCTTCACCATTTTATATTTTTACCAGCAAAATATGACTGCAGGCTTCTCCACATCCTTTCCACATCCTTGATGGATTATTATTACTATGATAAAATTATAGGAACAGAAGAGCACCTTTGATCAAAATTTCTGACTTTCTTCTACCTTTTAGCCATGACATCATAGATTCTCAGAAGTGGTATGTGCATTTATACTTTTATGGAATTTACCAAACTTCCCTCAAAATAGTTGCTACAATTCATGTAGTGAGACATTTTACCATATTTATGATAATCCAAATGAACAATTGTAGTATTAAGTTTTTAAATTTTCAACAGTTACCAAAAACTAATTACTTGTTCTTGTTTCAAATCATGTTTATTCATTTATACATGTGGTAGGAAGAATAATGCTCCTCCAAATTAAAGTTGATTTTCTGAATTGGCCTAACTAGGGTCTGTTACATTTTCCTGGAGTGATGGGAATGGAGCTGCTATGCAGAACTCCCTTTAAGAGTGGTACCCACCAAAGTAAGTGGCTGCTTATCCTTCTTCCTAAGTCATTTATTTCTCTACTTACATGTGATCAGTTTTCATACCTATAAACATACACACTTAACTTGTGTTTAACACACCTATATGTATATCTACATCTAACCCTATAACTTTTTTTTTTAATCTCCTACACTATTTCTGTTGCATTTCTCAGTGGTCAGGCCCTTAATTTTCACACATGATATCTCATAACACCCAATATTGTCCTAGTGATGGTTGCTATCATTAATAAATCCAGAAAAAAATTTCAATTTCTGCTTTAACTTTCAAAATTCTAAAAACATCAGAATAGCCTAAAGATAGTTAGACATATTGAAAATAGCTTCGAAAGTTTAAATTACCATTCTCAGCGCTAACATTTTATATTGTTTTAGTTTGATCAAATAACTTTGAAAATCATTAATCATTGTGAATTTTATCTGGGAGCAAAACAACAGATTCGATATTTAAAATTATAGTCAACTGACATTTTTATATTAAAAGAAGAAATATGTAAAATTACTGGTATACATGTAAAATTCTCATTTGTCAACCAAAAGAATAATTAAATGTCAAAACAACGAATTATATATGGGAAAATCGAC